CTGGGACGAACAAAATGTGGACGGAGCATCGGAGGAAGCTGGACCTCTTCCCTACTGCTCAGTGGACATCCCGATGGACGACGACAACCCTCGCGAAAGCATCAACGCCGAAGTCTACTACGACTTCGCCGACAACGGTTACGTTACACCCGCCCAAGTCAACACCGACGAAGCAGAACGCGTAGGACCTAATTTCTTACCTGATCCAAAAGCGGGAGACGAAGCAGCCTATCCCGAGGACCCAAATCTCCCCCGACTCTCACAGAGTGGACTGCAGATACTTGGACTTGTCACCGCGGTCCACGGAACGGCGCCACCTAAAGAGCCTGCCACAATTCAGTAGGCTCTGGGGGGGGAGCACAGGGAAAAATGGCGCGAAGCCATGGACAGAGAATTAAAAGCGCTGGAAGAACGCAACACCTGGAAAATCGTTCCCATCGGAGTGGCACGCAACAAGACAGTTCTCACTGGAAAATGGGTTTTCCGTGTGAGAACCAAAGCAGACGGAACCATCGATAAGTTCAAAGCGCGCTTGGTCGTACGTGGATTCGACCAAGAGCACGGACGGGACTTCACCGAAACCTTCGCACCTGTCAGCCGGCACACCTCACTACGGATTCTACTCGCGATTGCCGCCATGAAGCGGAAAAGGCTCCGACAAATCGACGTCGCTAATGCCTTTCTCTACGCGCCCGTCGATGCTGAAATCTATGTCGAGCAGCCACACGGCTCCAACACAGACCCTAACAAAGTGTGTCAACTACTGAAGTCCTTGTACTGCATCAAACAGGCCTCAAGACAGTGGCACCAGTACCTACACGCCCGACTCATTTGCATCGGATTCCGTCAGCTACCGCACGATCAAGGGATGTATCGCCTCACGAAAGGTACCGACTATATTCTACTTATTGTCTATGTGGACGATTTGCTCTACATTGGCTCAACCAACGGCATCACGACCTGGTTCGAAGGGGAGCTGCAGCAGGACCTCACGCTCACCGTCTCGTCAACCGTAACACAGTATCTCGGGCTCAACATTCAGGAAGAAGAGAACGCGATTTATCTCAGCGTCGCGAAGTACGCCGACACTATCGCCAAACGCTTCGGATTAACTCCAACCACTATCACTACGCCGTATCGCTACACCGACAGAAAAACGCAAAGAAAGCTCCACACCACTCAAGCCCGCCGGTATACGCGGCTATCAGCGAAAGCTAGGGTGTCTGCTCTTCGCAGCCGTCACCTGCCGACCGGACCTATCGTACTCAGCGAGCCAACTCGCCACCTACCTCAAGAAACCTGAAGCAGAGCACATGGCGGAGCTCGACCGCGCACTCCACCATCTCGTCAGCACTCCAACAATCGGCCTGACCTACCGCAAGACTGGAACTACGACGCCTAAGCTAATTGGCTACGTAGATGCTGACCACGCCGGTGATTCCGATAACAGGCGCTCGCGCACCGGCTACATCTATCAACTCGAACCTATCGGGCCTATCTCGTGGCAGTCGAGCAAACAGGAATTAATCGCCCTCTCCTCAGCTGAAGCAGAATATATTGCACTCTGCTCAGCCACCAAGGAAGGCCTGTACCTTCGCGAACTGCTGGAAGAAGCGAAACTGGCCCATTTACCCAGCTTCTCCTTATTCGGCGACAATCAGTCAGCGATTCGCATAGCAAACAAGAACGGGTTTGCGAACCGAACGAAGCATATCGCCTTGCGATATTTCTTTGTAAAAGACGAGATCGAGAAGGGGAGACTCGAGCTATCCTACTGCCCCACATCCGAGATGGCAGCTGACTACTTGACCAAGAAACTCGGAAAGCAGAAATTCGAGTACTGCATGCTGTGTCAGAATCCCAGCCACTAACCACTTGGATAAAAGGGCTTGTTTGTATCGCGGGTAAGTGCGCCCATAACCCCCCAGGCCAACGTGCTTGTAACCCTTCCCTAGGATCAATCGGGGATCACCAGTGGACCTTTGACAGCCCCCCGCACTGGGATGCCCGAGGTGCACACACCGGGAAATTGATCCCGAGACCTCCGCTTTGATACCATGTCAGAATCCCAGCCAGTATCCATTGGGATAAAAGGGCTTGTTTGTATAGCGGGTGAGTGCGCCCATAACCCCCCAGGCCAACGTGCCTGTAACCCTTCCCTAGGATGAATCCCGCCAGTGGACCTTTGACATGCTGCTGACTGGACAGGGCCACGTCACCAGCAACGACACTCCAGAAGCGAAGGGGAGTGTTGGAAACAAGTAATTTAACGCTTCTTGTGTGTCGCAACATCGAATTATAAACGAGGCGAATTGCAGCGCAGCAACGGCGAGTCAACCGAGGAGGTTGACAGAAAACGTAACAAGCCGGAGGTTACGCGAAGGTCAAAGGTCAGCGACCTTTGACTCGACAAATACAGCGCGACAGCAAGGACAAACAGCTGACTCGATATTGAGCCGTTGCCCGAGTCGTCACTGTATCGAACCGCAACAGCAGCAGTTACAATTGCAGTTACAAATAAGAAGTTAGTCAAACCCTTCGTATTCCCCTGTAATCTTATAAAAGCTTGTACGGTACTTTCATTCTATAATCAATCTTTCTTGCCCTCACACACTAGCGCAAGGTGGTTCAACACTTATCAAAACGCTTCTGCAATTACAACAATCCTATCAGGAGTTCTAGCCTTGAAAAGATCCTAAGGGCTTTTTCTCAGCCCAACAGAGTGAAGGGGAGGGGAGGAGGGGAGCAGGGCTGACGTTTCAGATTAGGCCTCCCTGATTCCGGGGAAAAATTTCCCCCTCTATTATGAGTGCACATTTTTCAGAATGATGCTACCCTGATTGCTCAAGGTTGAAATGTATGTAACTCTTATTGTTCAGGGTCGAAAATCGAAGATCAGAGTAGTAACGCGCGCTTTTTTACTGAGGAAAAAGAATCGCTTTGTGTTAAGGACGCGGCACCTCTAGTTTTTTTGCAAGATCGATCGCAGGATCGCTGTTTGCACCGCACTGAAATCCTCTGAGAGCATTTGAAATTCCCAACACCATTTTGAACAGCGCAAAATTTCGATCCTGCGCAGGATCGATCGCAGGATCGGTGCTGCAGGTGCCGCGTCATAAGTCTGCGCTCTATGTTTTGCGCACACCTTGTGCGCGCTAATTTCTACCCGTTTTGTTTTACAAAACAGTATTTATCCACACGTTTTAGCGCGCGGAAGAGACGAGCGATTTCGGTCAACCAAACATTTCGATTCGATACCACAGATGTGCCAAATTTTTAATTCGCCGAGTACCTAAATGTCGCCAGTATCTCTGTGCGAAACGCAAAAAATGTTTGTTAACTTCACACACACGCAATTACGACAGTAGAACGACCTATTTGAAATGCGTGAACGTATCAAATATTGAGTGTTCTCAACTGTCAGACATGCTACTGTCCGTCGCTCACGCGCTGGCTGTCCCGCAATCAATCCGAAGGGGGATATCGGAAGGAAATTTCCAGGAACCTTCGTCCCGATACCCTCGCATTCAGGGTACACAGAACGCGTACTCTACATTGACAGAGTCAGTAAGAACACTACTCTGAGCCTGGATACAAGATTTCAGGGTTCGCTAAAGTCCTTATCTGAATGGATCAGAGTTCACAAGTCACAAATTCTGAAATGGCAGGGACCACCAAGTGACAAGCCTGTAATCACCCTGAAATCAGGGTAATTACCCTGATAAAATCAGCCCTGGAGGGGAGGGGAGGGGAGAGGGGAGGATAGGGGTGCATAGTAACTCATGGGTTGTAGCAGATTGAGGAAGAACACAGAGGAACCCCTATAAAAATACCTACAAATGAGAGGCCTCCAACTCCAAGGTTTGGTTATGTAGATGCTGAGTCTATATGGTCTTTGCCTATACCGTACTACGGTACCGTATGTTTTGTTGCTATAACCTATACCAACATGCTAACCACTTGGGCAGTGATCGAACAATGAAGTCAGGAGGTAAATAGCACGAAACCCAATTCGGTGACGTTCTCACTGCGGCTCACATGCCATCAGCCTCCATTGATGTGCACAACCCTGCTCATTCTGCATTGCACTGCCTCGCCGTCTCTTCACGTTTCCACAATGCATCGTGGGAATGCCACAGTGAACGAGTGCTGGGTGGCTGGGGCTGCTCCAGCGCTCGTCTGTCCGCCCTGCCTGCCACTGGCTGATCCAATCACACACACTCCACTCGCTCCCACCCATCCCCACCTCCCTCGACTGCCTTCCACTCATCATTATTGGCCTGCTAGTCACACTCTTGAGTTCCCCTGCTCTTTTCTTGTGTGCTTGTCTCCCGTGCCCATGTGCCCCTGCTGATGATCTTGGCCTAATCGCTCCAGCCAGGTTGCACCCCATCCCCGCAAGCACTGCCGCTGTTGCACGGTCTTATTGAATGAAATCAGGTTTTACCGGGGAAATCACCAGGAGAATTTGACCACCAAATTTTCTGGTGCAAGTGCTCAATCCACTACTCACAAGTGAGCAGCATGCAGGTGAACCGAAAGCACTTTCAGCAGACGCCCTTCTGGTCCTCCCTGCTTGCAGTGCGCCTTACTGCCACTCTTGCCCAGACAACACCCCCCTCCCCTTCACCCAATACCTCGCTTTCCTCAAGCCTCTCCTTTCCCAGGCTCTCTGGGCAGCATGTGAGCTTCTTATGAGTGCTCTCTGCTGCAGCGCGCCTCTTTCAAATGACATGCCCCTTCCCGCTCTCTCTCATGCCTCTCATGTCTCTCTGCTTGTGAGTGGTGGCTCCCTCATGCCTCTCCTTTCCCACCTCCCTTTGCCCGGCATGTCAGCTTGTGGGAGGGCCAGGCAGCCTTCTGGCACGCTCTGCTGCAGTACGCCTCACTGCCACACCGCGCACACAGCTTCAGCTCCACGCCATCCCACTCCACACAGCTACACTTTGGCCCCTGGCACACCCGCCGGTACCCTGATTTCAGCCGCTCTGCTCGGGTATCTACACCAGATGCATGTGTCCAGAAAGTGCCTGCTGGGTTTCCGGCTCCTTCACTTCTTGCTGCTCTGCTCCCTGCTCCTGCTCGTTTTCGAGTGACGCTGTTCCCTGCTGCTCGTTTTGCCGTTTCTGGCATCGCTTCTGACCCACCTTTCCACGGCTCCCCCAGCAGCATGGCTCTCAGGCAAGCCACCAGGTTCACTCCTCCCAACCACTTCTGCGCATAAACCGGCCCCTCCTCCCCTCCCACCACCTCCTCCTCCTCCTCCTCTTCCCCCTCTTCCTCCTCACTGCTCTCACGGTTCGTCCTTTTCCTGCCACCCTGGCACTCATCCCGCAGCTCTCCCATCCAATTCCTCTTGTCCCCGGGCCATGCAGCCTTGGCAGCGTGCCGCCACGCCCGAACCTCCTCCCACATTTCACTGTCCAACTGCTTCCACTTGCTCACCCCACCCTTCCCCTGCTCCACACCCTCCTGCGCTGCAAGGCGAGCAAACCGCCCTGGATTCGTCTCCTCCTCTTTGGCCCACGTCCACGCTATCATCGTACACGCATGCGTAAAAGTCCCCATCTCCTTTTCCTCCGCGAACCCTTCCAAGCGTCCTCTCACATGCCTCCAGTTCACCTCTTCCTCTTGCCCTGACGCCATGAACATGCGGAGAAGCATGTACGCCTCTTTGGTTTGGTCGGGGGGGAAGAGGAAGAGGAAGCGGTGGATGAGGGTGGAGATGGGGCGGTAGGCGAAGGAGGCGAGCAGGGCGACGTAGTTGATGGCAGCGGCGTGCCTGAGGTGGCACTTCCAGCACCGCGTGCACCTGGAAGGCTCTCTTTCGGCTGCCATCAGTTCGACGAGGAACTCCACGTCTGCCACTGTGCGAACCACCGGACGGGTTTTTGAAACTGCAGCCGACGACGCTGCTGCTGACGATGCTGCCGACAATGCTGCTGCTGCATTCGCTGGAATCTTCCAGTCAACAGTGACCCCATACACCTCCTTAAGGATTTTCTCATATAGAATCCTCCCCTCCACGTCATCAGCAAGCTTTACAGCAGCTTCATCGCCAGAAGGCACCTCTTCCCACTCCCAAGAAAAGCCCCGCCGAACCAAGGGCTCCGGCATGGTGCCGGACCTGATCAGCAGGCTCGGGACATCCCTAAATGGGTGGCGGAGGACTGGGAGATCCTCTTTTCGCTTGACGCCGGTTTGGAGCGCACATGCCTTCGGAGATTGCAGGTTCGGGCCGTAGGTTCGGACCCACATAAGAATGCAGCTCACCCTCCACGTCAGCACAGTCACAAGCGTGTTACTGGTTGCGGTTACTGCCTCCCAGCCGTCCTTCACTGAACCTCTCACACCAATCTCAGCTCCACGACTCTTTGCGTCACCACCTTCCCTCTCTCTTTATGCTGCCATGCCTACTTTCTTCCTGGCAGCCTCGGTTGCAGAATTCTCCAGCTTCACTCTGTACTCGTTATTAGCATCTGTGAAGAATATCCGGCAAGCTTCCATGGAGAATTTGGGCTTGGAGAGCACTGTAGCAACGGCAAGGGCGAAATCAGTGGTGTCAATGCCACTCTCAAGCATGCCCTTGGGAACACCGCTGCTGCTGAAAGCCTTGGCGATGCGTGAGATAAGAGAACCATTTAATTCACTGCTCCTGCTAGAAACGGCTTTTGGAACCCTTGTCCCATTGCGTCCTTCATGCGCAAGAAGACAAGCCATACCACCCACATACCTGTCCCACACAGGACCCTCCAGCCCCTGGCTCCACTCCCCTTTGCTGCCGGCACCACCACCATCACCTTTTCCCCCGCGTGTTCCACCCTTTCTCCCAGCCTCCCGCTGTCCCGCATTCCTCCCTTTTCTTCCACCATCCGCTATTCCGCCCCTTCCCCTATCCTCCCCTGCTCCACCCTCGCTCTCTCTGTGTGCCTCTGCACCACTAGGCAGCAGCGGCAGCACATGGGCTTTAAACCCGTCCTTCATCTCCTCTCCTCCCTTCACTCCCAGCACCTGCACCAGCACCGACGCCAAGCTATCTTTCTCCCCCTGCCTGCGTGCCCCTAGCTCCTCCACAATAGGAGCGAAGAGGCCTGTAAGTGAGGCAAGCTGAGCCGTCCATAGAATCACAAAGCGAGGAGAACTCGCTACAAGCACAAGGAAGGCGCAGAGGGACACAGCGCGACGGTAGGAGGCCCAGCAGCTGCTGCAGCGCCAGCAGCACGACCAGGGGACCGAGGCAGGGGGGTTGGGCGAGGGGAGAGCGGAGGAGACAGAGGAGGAGGAGGCGGCCGCATTTGTATCAGAAACAGCTGGAGCATCTGTGGCGGCGATGACTGCAGGCAAACGGGTTCTGATCCTCCTCAGGTCCATGAGCACGCCCACACGAGGCTCAGCCATCCACTCGAGAATCATGGCATTTGCACAAAAGTAAGGGGCGCGATTGCACTTGTGATCATCAACGCCTCCTGCCGCCCCCATCTCTGCCGTTCCCTTCCCTTTCTCTTCTGATACTTTCTCTCCCTCTCCCGCTGCTCGACTCTTTGCTGCGTTAATAGCTGCTACTCTCGCCCCCTTCTCTGCCACTACTTCTGCTACACCTTTTGCCGCGTGGTTTCCTTTCTCACCTCCCAGGGACCCACCTCCCCCCTGCCACTCTGGTGCTGCCAGGGGAATGGACTTGGGCAGTTGCTGGAGCAAGTCGCGTTGGAAGTCCTTTAAGCTCAGGATGCCGAGGGCCGCTTGCCCTCGAGTGCCAAGCACACGGTGGAAGCAGCAAGAGCAGGGAGACTCAGTCTCGGACGCGCCAGAGCCGTATGAGTTGGCGAAATGCACCATTTCGGATCTAGATATCAACGAAGTGCAACGTTTTGAACCACCTTGTTCCACAGCGGTCTGCCCTTGCTCCTGGTTGTGTTCCCTACACTGCTCCTGCTTCTGCTCTAGCTGTATTTCGACAATCCGCCTGCCCACTTTCTCCGATTCCTCCTCCTCTCTCTTCCCAGCATCCTCCTCGTCGCTGCTATACTCGCTCTCGTGCTCATCGATCTCACTCTCATTCTCCTCCTCATCACTCCCGATCTCCCTGTCCTCCTCACCACGCCCGCTCTCTCTCTCCTCTTCATCACTCTCAATCTCCTTGTCCTCCTCGTCACTCCCGCTTTCCCTCTCCCCATCATCTTTCGCCCTCGCTCTCTCCTCCTCGTCGCTGCTATCGCCCACATGGTCCCACTTGGAGTAGTCGATGGGGCGACTCACAGCAGCGGACGGTGCACTGGCTCCAGGACGCATGGCTGCGGACACAGCCGCAGTAACAGAAACGAGCCGTGCTATGACGAGGCGTTCCTAAAACGAGTGTTGAATTTCGTCAACGCTGGAGGTGATATGCGAGCTGGAGGTGATTTCCAATTCGTCTAAAACGCTGATCGCATTAGGAGATGTGCGAGGTGAAGGGAGGGCTGATGCGAGCAGCAGCGGACGCTGCTGACGTGGCATGCAGCAGTGTATCGCGCGCGATTGTTGATTAGATATTACTAACTACGAATAAGCTGACAAACACTTCCTCACGATTTCTGGACACGTCGAATTGCAACACACTAGGATGTTGAGAGTAGTTTATGTATCGAATCTCGCACATTTCCCAAATTCAGTCGTCTACCCCAAGTCGGTCGCTGCCGTGCACCGTCACTAGAGAATTGGTCCTTCGAAACCCTAAGGGCGTGTAAAATCGGGGGACCCTAAAATTCGGCCATTAGCCAAATGGCCGATTTGGCGAAGGTAACAGTTGGTGAAATCGGCGAAAACAGTTGCGAACGTCGCCAATTTCGGCAACGCTGTGCGAATTTGAAGGCCGTCTACGTGGTCGACTCAGCATTCGACTCCAAGTCGACTCGAAAAGAGCCACGTTCCCGCCCTGTCGTTGCGACATTGACCGCTGTTGTCGCACGATTCCGCGTGCGACGCCAATCAGAACCCACGTTCACATCAACACCGCACGTACATAACCTCTGAACATGCTCAAACAAACAGCGCACCAATTTCAGGTGCGGTGCGTTTTTGCCGCAGCGCTTCGGCAATCCCATGCAACATGCGCAACACCCATCTCCCCCCCCCCCCAACGAGCACGCAAGTCCAGTCTCACAAAATAGAAATAGAGATTGAACCAGCAGCACAGCAACAACACTCACACGACTGATTCAAGCGCCTACTGACCATGGCTTTGCAAAGTGGTAACGACCAACCCGGGAACTCCGCTAGAGGCAGCAACCCAGAAAACCTCCCTGACACCCAAGCCTCCCACAATGACCCGATGCCGCCACCAATTCGTACTGTTGGCGAATCGTCCTCTCGCCACGTTAACCCATGGGAACGGCCCGCAAGCTGGTGGGTCAACAATCTGCCCCGTCCCGACTCACCATACGGACTTTACGAAGATTACGGCGTTGGCGAAGAAGCCCCAGAGGTCTGCTCGGCCAACGAAGACGAGGAGCTCGACCCGAACATCGCGCGGACGAACGTGGAGTCCGGAGGCACATCCGCACCGTCGTCTTCGCGGACGACTTCTTCGCAACCGCGCTGGAGTAAGGAGGACGAGATGCTGCTGATGCAGGAGCGCTACGAATTACACGTTAGAGGAGAATGGAGCGGTATGCGAGGTATGCAGGGACAGAACCAGTTTGCAAAGCTCCATCGCAACTTGCTCGCGCGCAATCGACAGTGGCGCCATCCTGTAACCCACCTGCGACCGAAGCTTCGTCGCATGGAGGCGTGCTGGAATCGATGGCGTGGTGTGTGGAAGAAATCGGGGGAGGGTCTGCCAGAGGGGTGCCCCTTATGGTACGAGATGGCGGACGAAATGTGGCGCGACCGCGAAACCGTCCGCCCAACAACCACTGTGGAGAGTGGTCCCGACGAGCCCACAGTGAACGGTCCGACCTTACCCACCGACACACCCATGACTGCGCCGGAAGATGCGGCACCGGTGCACCCGCTCGTCGGTAGCGACAATGGCCCTACTACACCGCGCACCGTATCCGCGCGCGGGCTGCCATCGGCACCAGTGAGTGCCGCGGGGAACGGCTCAACTGCTGACGAAGGTAAGCGCGGTTTTTTACCAGGCTTGACATTGTAACATTAATCCGCACATTAGTTATACAGTGCAAGGAACATCATAAAACACCCAACGTCTACCCTCACTAACCCACCACCCCTACACCCTCCTCTGTGCAGCTCCTGTCCTGCCGCATTCGGCTCCACCTGCATTACAGGCAACGCCCACTGCCGCGAAGAGCGCTCCTGTCTGCGGAACCACTCCGTCGCCGTCGAAGCCGTCGTGCTCCACCCCTGGGACGAAGCGTCCCCGTGGGTCGCCTCATCATCGCTGGGCCGCCACGTCACTGAATATTGGCCCAGGGGGTTCGCTCCGAAGTGGCCGCACGACGGCGAGGGCGAGAGCGGCGGCTGCGACGGAGGCCGAACAAGACAACGACGAGGAATGGGGAGCAATGAGTAAAAGCGGCCGCAAAGGAAAGCGCGCGTGGGTGGAGGACGTGTGTCGGAGTATGACGCGTGAGTTGACCGCATGCGTTGAAACGACTATGACCCGCCTATTCGAACGTACCCGAGAAGAGGACGGGCGAGATCCGGATGACCAAGACGCCACGAGGCGTAAAGGAAAGCGCAAAACCGATTCCGACGAAGAACAGGCGTGAAACCGGACACTTCCCTCCCCGAGTGCACGAGGTCGGCCGCCGGCCCAGTAAGCCACCACCGATTCCGCGTGTACTGGACCTCCATGCGGTAACGAGCCCCGAGCGCCATCTCTATGTTGTGCAGAGTCACGACGGCGGCGATGGTGGCAGGGACATGGCGGCGGTGGCACTCCATGCGCCCATCGAGGATCCTCCATTTCGTCTTGAGCCGACCGTTGACTTGTTCAACGATCATGCGGGCTCGTGACTGTTGCTTATTCCACACTGCTTGTGCATCTGGTAGGAGTTGTCCCGGGGTAGCGCGATAGGGTACGTAAGTGTACTCTTTTAAGCCGTAGGCTGCGTCGCTTACAATTACATAGTTGCCAATGTCGCCTCGCTCAATCCTTTGTTTGGCTTTTGAATTATTAAATACCTTTGAGTCGTTGCATGAACCGGGCCAACCCGCGAGGAAGCTCCAGATTAGACCGTTTGCATCCACGATTAGTTGCAATATGACGCTGAAAAACCCCTTGCGATTCTTGAACTCCTCAGAGTGTGGTCCCCATCCGCGCGTGTGGATATAGGTGCCGTCCATGGCACCAACTATGCCGGGAATTCCGCTATCCCAGCGGAATTCTTCCTCCCACAGCGCCAGGTCTTCCTCATCGGGCCATTTGATCCACTCTTCCTGCAAGTAGTCGCTGTTGAATTCGATCCACGCCTGGCATATCTGGTGCACACGTGTGTGGCTGAAGCCGAACGTCAAGCCTAACTCCCTGTACGTCATCCCACTTCCTAAACGCACAAGGACCATGGCAACTTGGAGCGTGACATTGCACGCTCTTTTGCCCGTGGCGATCAGATGTGTTGCCCACGCTTTGCAGAGGTAACCAAATACACTGCGTTCAACCCGCAGCGCCTCGTACATGTGCTCAGGCGCCAGGTGGAGGAACCTATCCATCCAGCGTGCGCGCTGGATTTGACGGTCACGACGCCAGAACATTTGGTACTCAGAGTCCTCGGCGATGTCCAGCAGCAGGGGGACGAGTAAGGTAAAGGTGGTGATCCATGGCACAAGGGCTGCCTGTACCAGCCCCGTAGCTAACAGACGGGTTGCACGCGGTGTGAAAGTGGGGGCCATGAAGTGGCTAATTGAAATGCCTTAGTGGGGTTCCTTCAAATAGTGGGTGTGCACGAGGCTGTGGCTCTTGGCTAAATGTGCTATGTCGCCCCGTGTGTGAACGGAGCCGCGGTAGAAATGTCCAGGCCGTGGTCAAGCTTGGAACTCAATCGCGTTCCAATGTCGATTGCACTTGTGCGACTCCGTCGCACACTTCGGCCATCAGATAGTTTACAACTTTCTGGAGTCGGCCAGCAAATCGGCCAGCAAAGTTGTAAAATTTGCAGATCTGCAAATACTGGCCGGTTATTGGTCGACTCTGATTCGGCCATCTGGTCGACGTGTGCGAAAGAAGAGTCGACCATTTGGTCGACTAAAACCCGGCCAAACCCCCTTTTTCAAAATGCTCCCCGATTTTACACGCCCTAAATAAGATGCCCAACTGGTCGTTCCGTCATGCTGGGACGAAATAGGCAAGCCCTATGATTCAGAAGTAATGGCTGTGCAACCATGAATATTGCATTTCAGGGGTTCGGGAATTTATTACGATGAAATACGGCTAATTGTTTTCAAAATCGGTTTTGAACGGCGCTTGACCCGAACACGATGAGTGGCTGCAGTGTCATGGCACCGAACAGATCACCTCATCGTTATCAGATACACCAACCGCGCAGAACCGTTCAAAACACCAACTAGCTTCAATTCTATCGCGTTGGCGCGTCATTTCTCAATTGCCGATTTTGGACCCCTCACCCTAAATCCGCTAAGGAACGCGGGGTAGACTAAGGGCGTATCTTGGGTTCCGGTCATGAGCACTGTTCCGGGCATGCGCGAATTGCGGATGCCCGGAACAACTAAAAACACCACTTTGGGTTCTCGGGACTCATGCGACCCCCAAATTGGCGCGAGGCTTTTCGCGCCAAAATTACGCCCCAAACAACAGTCGCATCCAATGGAGGGATGCCAGAACAGTCCGAAAGTTCGTTTGCGACACCCACGCAAAACACGATCGCTAAAAATGTCGGCATGAATCCCCAAATGTTGGGAGCGCGACGCGGGAAATGTTAGACACATTTCGTGGGTCAATAGGGTCATTTTGCTGATTGGTTGGGTGCAGAGGTGTAGGATACGGTACGCGGGAAAATTCTGGCACTCGACTGACGACCGCCAAAATTTCGGCAGTCTAACGTGAATCGTGCAACCAGGTGATTGGTTGGGGGTGGGTCGTGCACGTCAGTCGCCCAACACCTGCACATTGACCCAAAGCTGGGGCCGCGCGCGGCTCGGCAACCTACTTCGGGTCATGCGCAAAAACCGCATGACCGGAACAGTGCCATGAACAGTACTCATGACCGGAACCCAAGATACGCCCTAAGGGCGGGGCCAGCGCATTCATTTACACAATGGTACAGTTCATCTGGAACGGTTACTCTCGTTTCGTCACGATCTATAACGGTTGATAAAAAAAACCGTTGTAAACCGGCTGGAATCTTTCTGCACCACGATAGATGAACTGTACAATTGGGAAAAACGAACGCGCTGGCCCCGCCCTAAAGAAGTGTTGGCGAAATAGGCGAAGTTACTGAGTAATTGAATGAGGATTGGTTGCTCTTAGTGAAAACAATCAAGCATTACATAGCATGCAAGAGTGATAGTTGGAAAGTACTTCATGGAACTAGAAAGTAGAAGGCAAGAAAACTAGAGTGCCACATGGCGCTTCGAAATCTTGGAAATCTTGGATAAGTTGGATGAAGATAAGGTTGGGATAAGATTGGGGGCACTGTTTAGGGTAAACATCCCTTGAACAGTAAAGTATCTTGTAACACTAACCCCCCTCCCAAGGAAGCGACGATCGCGGCGCCTGCAGACTGAAGGTACGCTTGGAGGCAAGCGTTGTCAGGAGACAGCGAGGACGAAGGAACCCAGCTGTCGTCGGCTGCATCGTAACCACGCCAACGAACCAAGAAGTCGATGAAAGAGACACCCCCCTGGAGACGGCGACGGTGCCTGAGGATGCGCTGGATCTGGTAGTCACACTCGTCGGTATCAACAGCTATCGGCAGTGGAGTGCGATCACGGCCCGAGAAAATGGCGTTGGGGTCAGTGTAAGGACGAAGGAGAGATACGTGGAATGATGGGTGCATGCGGAAATGAGCGGGAAGGCGAAGGCGGTATGCGACAGGACTTGGTGCGCGCCCCATGACGAATGGACAAATGAAACGTGGATGAAGCTTGCTGTCATGTGGCATTCGGAGGTTGCGGCTATCCAAAAGGACAAGGTTGCCGACTGCAAACGACACCTCACGACGACTGCAGTTGGTGGTGCGTGCCATACGTGCATTTGCGAGCTCAAGATGCTTCCTCACGTGATCATGAATGAAGGTGAGATGCTGGTGGAAATTGTTCGCACGAGGGACTGTGGGTGTGCGATCAATACGAGTGGGGACATTGGGGTGTTGACCGTACAGTGCAAAGAACGGTGACATGCCTGTGGACAAGTGGTACGTGTTGTTATGCGAGCTCGCCCATGCTCAACTTCTTCTCCCATGCTGCTGTGTCGTGCATCGTGATGCTGCGAAGAATCTGCTCCAAGGTCTGGTTCACACGCTCAGTCTGTCCGTCTGTCTCTGGATGGTACGCAGACGACATGGCTAAGAGACTCCCAAATAGTGCAAAAAGCTGCTTCTAGAACTTCAGAGTGAAACGAGGGTCGCGGTCAGAAATGATGGAATCTGGTACCCCGTGCAACCGGACTACATTATCTACAAACAGCGTTGCGGCTTCCTCTTCTGTAACTTTGCCATGCGTGGGGATGAAGTGCGCTGCTCGAGAAAACTTGTCCACTACCACAAATATGGCATCGTGACCCCTAACTGTGCGCGGTAAAGCCATGATGAAATCCATGGTAACTACCTGCCAATGGCAGTCGGGCGGTGGAATCGGCTGCAAAAGTCCTGCTTTGCGCTGGCGAGAGGATTTCGAACGCTGACATGTGTCACACGAGCGAATGTAATCATCTACGTCTGCTGCAAGCCTTGGCCAGAAGTACGTGCGACTAAGCATTTTAGCCGTCTTATCTGCTCCGGAGTAGCCAGCACTAACTACGTCGTGTGCCTCGGAAAGAAGGAGCTGTCGAAGAGGGCGGCATGCCGGAACCCAAATCCGTATGGTACCCTTCCGTATGTAGACGCTACCCTACACCTTTGCTCCTGCGGGCGGCTGCAGTATGAAGTCTAGATGTACTGTGTAACCGTGCTCGAAGAGTGCTGTGAGAAGTGGATGGATTGCCTGTAGTGACTGTGAGGCTAGCGAGCTGGCAACTAGGGCGAGTGAGCGGATCTGCTGGGTTGCGAACGCCTGGCTTGTATTCTATCATGTGATGAAAGCTCCTCTCTATGAACTCCTTCCATCTAGCCTGAGGACGACGGTTGCGACTTGAGGAAACGAAGCGAGCACTGGTGTTGAAGAAGTACTCCTCGTATGGCTTGATCTGAAGCGTCGGTCACTACAACGTACGGGCGAGTCGGGCCGGGATACGACTGTGTCAGTGAAGACGTGAGCGACTGCTTCATCTGCTCGAACGCTTACTCCTGCGCTGGACCCCTAACGTACTCTACGCCCTTTCAAATTAGGTCGGTAAGTGGTCTAGCGATGATAGCGTAATCCAGAAGGAAACGACGGTAGCGCAAATCCGAGAAAGCTCTACAACTCCTTGACTGAGGTCGGTGGTACCCAATCCAGTACTGCTGCGATCTTCTTCGGGTCGGTCCTAATGCCACTAGTGGATCTGACGTGACCTAGGAACTCGATCTCGAGGAGGAAGAACTCACACTTTGACTACTTCACGTGCAGCTCCTCCTTCCGCAAGACCTCAAAGACCTTCTGCAAGTGCTGCACA